TAGAAAATGGATCCAGAGAAAAGTAACAGGCAACAACAGAAAGGATGCTAAACTGGGTAACTCAGAGAAAAAAAGCAATGGAAAGCTGAGGTTTTGTTTCACACAGGCTGAGTGGTTTTGAGGAGCTTGGTAATGATGCTCTATTGCCCTGAAGTGTTTCTGTTTATTTGTTTTGGGCTTATAATGGACACAAATGCTCCCCACTTCTGTGGATGACTGAATGAGAGAAAATCATCTTAAATTAAAGCAGGAGATAGTTTGGTTGTGTTTAGGGAAGTTTTGTTTGTTTTTTTTTTTTTTCTGACTAAACTGGTAAGGGCTTCCTTCAAAGGACATTGCAGCATGTTACTGCGTGATCCTTTGAGAAAAGAAGAGACAAGTACTGTGTCCAGGAGAATCGAGGCTTCTGTGCCTGAGGGTAGGGACCTGCTCTGGAATCCTGGCCAGTCCAGGATTTGGGGGAATTAAGAGTCACTACAGCCGTTGGCTGCCCCTCCCCCTACCCACACTGTCCACCAGAGCTGTTAACAAATTTACAAAAGCCACTCTTTTCAGTTTTCTATTTTATTTTCCTTGTCTCCTGAGAAACATAGAAAGGAGCCAATCACCAGGCAGGAGAAAGAGAAACTAGAAATGATCTTGGTGCTTTCACAACGGGACTGTATAGTGCGGTGAAAGCAAGCTTCAATGAATTAAAGGTCATGTGAATTAAAGATTTTAACAGTAGGGTGTTATTTACTGTTTAAGCCCTCTATGCTACTTATGCACCCCTAAAATGGAGTAATCAACCTCCTTTACTTTCCTCCTTCTTCCCCCTTCTTCTTCCTCTTCCTCCTTCTCCTCTCCTTCCCTTCCTCCCCCTTCTCCCCTTTCTTCCTTGAATATTTTTCTGAAAAGTGAAGTAATAGTTGCCATTTGTTTCTTATTGACAATGTAATATAAACTGAAGGGGAAAACCAAAAGGCCAAAACAAAAGGTCACAGTGTCCAGATTTCAAAAAGGCAGATGGGGAGTAGTAGTTGAACTCTATTCATAAAATTAAAGAGAAATCGCATGGCTTGATTAGAAAGGGGAATTTATCTCTCAGCAGGTCTTCCCAGAAACAGCACCATTTCAAGCACACCTTGCATAGATATTTAGCTGCTGTTTGAATATGAGAAGGAATTTGAGGAATTGAAGCCTCTGCAGAAGAGCAAGTACCCACCATAAAGGCAGAATTTGATGAAGAGCTTTTAAAACATTTTTTTAAATGTTTGTTCATTTTTGAGAGAGAGACAGAGAGACAGAGATAGGGCGCAAGCAGAGGAGGGGCAGAGAGAGGAAGACACAGAATCTGAAGCAGGCTCCAGGCTCTGAGCTGTCAGCACAGAGCCCAACAGGGGGCTCAAACCCACAAACTGTGAGATCATGACCTGAGCCGAAGTCAGACACTTAACTGACTGAGTCACCCAGACACTTAACTGACTGAGCTACCAAGGTGCCCCCAGTGAAGAGCTTTAACAGTGCTCTCAGACTAAATCCCTTCAGCTTTGGACTGATTTCTCTGGTGGCCACGGGAGGAGGTTGAGGGACTCTCTAGTGGCCTGACACCACTAGGAAACCTGCCTAAACCGGCTGCCATTGTGAAGTCATTGGTTTCACTCTTTAGATTCTCTACCCCAGGCTTCACCATAGGAGTGGCTACTTTCCATTTCCTGGAGACTGTATTTTTACTCACTGAGAGCCAGCCCAGTGAGCAGTCAAGTCTGTTAGGAGTACCAGAGGCCCAATGCAAACCCTAGGAGGGGATCGTGGGGATCCAGCTGGCCAGCTGAGCTTCTGTCCCTGTGGGAGGGAAATCCCAACAGGATTGGGAGAAGCAGAGAGGCTGATGACCATCTGGTAGAAAGTGAACCAAAGGTTTCAAAATCTACTGGTGGATGGATCTCCCAATCCAAGGGTGGGAAATCATGACTTACAGAAGTGAACTACTGCTCTGGAGGAGGTATGGGACTCCTATTCTGCAGGCCCCTATTCAGCTGATTGCTCTGGTCCTTTTCTCTGCTATCTCTTGCTTCTTTTTCTTAGGGCCCCTCTACCTTGTTCTTATTTCTCCCATTCTGTTCCTTTTTGCATCCCTATTGCTTGACACAGTTCCAGGTTCACAGTACAAACTCCATACATTTGAGGGGAATTGGCTTGACATGCCAAAGGAGTGGTACATACGTTAGAAGCAAAGAGAAAGGAAAGAGCAGATGGGGATTAGAAGAATCAATGACAACTTCTTGAGGAAAAGGCATTTGGTCTGGTCCTTTCAGGAAGGAAGATGTTTGGATGGGCAGAGAGACAGGGAAAGGCACCTAGAAAGTTAAGGAACAGTCAAGGTTTTCAGGCAGAGAGAATGTAATGCCAAACGCAGGTAGAAGAGGAGCAGTGGGCATTGGGGATAGAGCCCTTAATTTAGACAAGGTTTAACTCTGAATTTCCACTGTTCTTTTCATTTTAAGAATTCCAGTGATTTCTATTTCAGAGAACCAGAAAGAGTGTGACAGCATTCAGAGAGGAAGAGATGACCACTCTTACACTGATAACGTTTCTACCAGCTTTAGCAGACTATGGCACCACTTGGGAGGACCATGGTCTTATAGCCTAGATCTTGCCACCCCATGCTGGGTGCAGGTTATAAACAACTTTGAATGAAGCAGGGGAAGGAGCCAGAGGAGCATTTCAGCCCCTCCACTGAGAGGCTGAAGGTCACTGCAACTGTAAAGTGGAAGTTGTTAACATCCTTCCTCATCATTATTCGAAATATGCAGCTGAGGCTCAGACCAAGACACAGATGAATGAAAATGCTCACCAAGCTTTTTTTTTTTTTTTTTTTTTTTTAACAGAGAAGATGAAAATGCAGTGGGCCCCTGTCATATAAAGTCTTACCGGCATGCTTTGTAGAACTTGAATATTCTAAGAGCAGTCAGCCACTGAACCCTGGCACAAACTTATCACTGGTGTGGAGCAAGGTGCCTCTGCCTCCCCCATTTCTTACCCACACTCTCTTTGCTCTTTCTGGCTGCTTTCAGAGAGATGGTGCCTTTGCCAATAGACAAGAAGTAGAAGAGGCAATGTTTATTAAATAGAAGCTGCTGCCTCTCCTGCCACGCCAACTCTACAATACATCTGTTTCTACCTCTACAGAAACATGGCCAAGATGGGAGGGACATGAAACCCCCCTACCTTGGGCTGATATTGTCTTGATGTAAGAAGGCAATATTGATTAAAACACCAGTATTTCAAATTGTCTCTTTATTTGGCACCCTGAAGTTTTTTCACCTTCTAGAACACTGTATCATAGTGACATTAAAGTTGAGTCAGAAGTGACCTTTTCTTCTCTAACAGGGAGAAAGACAAGGTCCTTCTCACCGCAGGTAAGTTTTATGAAAGAGTCCATAAAGAAACTGAAAACCTGGAAATGGATTGTCTTAAAATTACCAGTGCCTGCATACCCTTTGAAAACCTGCAGGCAACTTTGGGGGTAGAGGTATCTCAGTTTGAAGACCCTCCCTTCAACCCAAACAGCTCCATCTCCCGGCAGAGAGGCACTAACGCTGTGGATGCTACCAGGAGAGATACTATACAAGTGGACCTATCAGATCACATTGCATTAGCTGCTACTCACTCGTGTGCATAAGACTTGTCTCAAAGGCAGTCAGCAATTTTCTGAGGCTAGAGCATTAGCTGAGCATTGGGACACATTCCCCCAGGTGAGGTCCAGGCCTGGGGAGAGCCTGAGCACAGTCATGAAGTGGAAGAGACTTTATTCTTTCCTTCTCTTCCCTCATGATGATTGTCACTCCTCCCCACCCTGCGGACACCCAGAGGGTGTCATCCTTCCATATCAGCTTTTAGTATGAAGGGATTTCAGTGCCTTCCTTAACACTGAAAAATATTAGGATAGATGGCAGCTTAAACTGTGATTTTTTTTTTCCGAAAGAAAGAAAGAAAGAAAGAAAGAAAGAAAGAAAGAAAGAAAAGAAAAGAAAGAGTATCCCTCCTGCCTTACCCTAGATTCTGCAGAAAGCAAAGCTGGAAAAAAAGGCCTAGTTTATTGGGAATGTAGTCCAGTGGTATAGGACAGGGGGATTGAGACAGGAAAGAAAGAAAAGCCAGTACAAGGGTGCTTTACCACGTTGACTTTTGCTGCAGGCAACTGGTACTCAACCCCACTGGGACCTTCTGGAGAACCTCGTGAAATGTCTCCTAGAACTCTCCACCTGGAAACTGTCAGCTTCCAACCCCCTCTGGTCAAGAAGTAGCCCCACGGGCACTAACTACCCCCAAATTCCCAGGCTGCACATGTTCAAGCACAAAACTCCCCATGCCAAAGCAACAGAGAAGCTCCAGGGGCAGAAGCAAACTGTGAAATGTGCAAAACAGGTCGGCTGCACCAGCATGAGTCAGCTCTTTACCTACAGAATGCTCCAGAATTCTATACAGGGGTAGAAGGCTGATTGAAATAGAAGGGGTGGGTGGGTACTAAAACCTTCTTCATCCTACCCCTTGGTTCTATCACTGTGCTCACCTGTGGTGCCCTCAACCATGGCTACAGTAACTGCAATCCTGTCCAGCATGGCTGCCGGAAGTCTCTTCTGTGAAGGTAGCTGAGGTGGAGGGGTGGGAGTGCCGTTAAGGGTGGCCTGTTGAGCCCAGCACTCTCCAAAAAGTGGCCACTATATATGAGGTAGATGGCCCACTCCTGCAGTGGCAGGGCCATGAGTAGAGAGGGGTAACTCTGGGTGCTAAAACAAAACTTGAGACCGACACAGAAACAACTGGCCCACAAAGCTCACAGTCTGTCTACCGCCAAAGCCAATGGCTCCCCCAGGCTGCCCAATGCAGTCTTCTCTCCCCTTGAGACTACTGGTTTGTGTGAGGTAGTGAGGGAGGGGCTGTGTGGTTGGTCTAGGCCACACCCTCTGAGGAGATGCTGATAAAAAGGGAAAGCTGAGCAAGCTTCCTCAAATCACACGTAACACCCTACCCATCCCTTGCTTTGACTTAAACATTTCTGGTGAAGAACATCAGATCTTCTAGGGAGTAAAAGGAAGTTGGAAGATATATCACCCAAAGAAAAACTGAGAAACTTGCCATTATTTTGGAGACAGCAAGAAAAGAACATCTCAGAACTGGGGCCTCATCCTTTGATTTTTTTAACACAAGAGAAAAAGAGCAATTGTTCTTCAGCAGGTAAGTACATTTAATATTATCTTAACGTGGGATAGCTTGGTAAGAATAGTTACCAATAACATGGCTGCTTTTTTTTTTCTTAAGTTTACTTATTTATTTTGAGAGAAGGAGCAGGAAAGAGAGAATCCCAAGCAGGTTCCGCACTGCCAGTGCAGAGCCTGATGCAGGATTTGAACTCACAAACTGTGAGGTCATGACCTGAGCCCAAACCAAGAGTCAGACCGTTAACCAACTGAACCACCCAGGCACTCCAATCTGACTGCTTTTTAAACAAGCATACCATCACTCCTATCTCCAAGATGCATACCTATTTCCAAAGGAGCCTGCCGGGGTCTCATTCCCATAGGAGGCTGAGGCTTCCCAGCACAGTTGGAGAATCATCACCAGAATTATGGCTTATAAAATTCTGATGAATAAATGAATCCAAGCTAATCCTGGTTAAAATGGAGCGTGGCTAATAAAACAAACAATCAAGGGTGGCTGGAAAATGACCTCTGGGGTGGTTCCCAAAGAGGAGGCCCAGATGTCCTCTGGGTAGCATTGGACTATGTCTGTGGTGGCAACCTCAGAAGATCACATTGAAGCACAGCATTCTATTTCAGTTCTAAGTTTTGATATATTTACTGAAAAAAGTCAGCTTACTCACATTATAGTACATAATATAACTAAGTAATATTTGCAATATGTCTTTTCCCTTTCTACTGATAGATTTTTCTATCTGAATTTGTTTTCTATCTGAATCTGTTGATTCAGATCCTCTACCCCTTTAAGACATGTCTTTGTTTTTATATATACATATATATATACATATATATACACATATATATAAATATGTCTGTGTATATATATGTATATGTATATGTTAATGTATTGAGAAGGAAGTACTTTCGTAACTTAAGTACTGCCTTGGACAAACTATGCCCTCACCGATATTTTGTGTTTCTTGGTATGTTTTGAAGAACACCAGAACTTTGGCTAACCGATATTGACTGCCCTTGTAATTCTCTGTGCTTTTACCCAAAGTCTTAATCATCTCCATAAACAGAGCCATTCTATGGGAGAGCTGTGGTTAGTTTGGGGAACATGTACAAGGCAGGGTTACCTCCTTGGAGTTCCCCCAACCTTTGCTTTTCCCACAAGATTGTCTGCTTTAGAAGTTTCTCAGATTAAGATCGCCGACTCATTTCAGGCAGGCAACTAGGGAGTTTTACAACCCATACTAGGCCGACCTTCCTTCCTGGGTGACTCTTTTTCCTTTCCAGGTTGTGAAAATAAACCCACAACCTTTTATATTCAGGAGTTTGGAGACCCAGGTACACCATTCATGGTGTGTTTTTGCAAACGTCACAGGAGAACCCTCTGTATGAGACGATTGAATTGTCTTCTGTTCCTGCCTTGTGCTTGCTGGGAATTACCCATGTCTAACTTGGTTTGAAATTGTTTTCATTCTCTGCCCTACGCAGCAAAAGCCATGGATCACGCAGCAAAGTGGAAAACACCACTACTGAAGCACCCATATCCCAAGCTCTTTCCGCTCTTGATGCTAGCTAGTCTTTTTTACTTCTGTTCAGGTAAGGAACTTTCAGGAACTTGACTGAGTTTGCTGCTTCAAAGTTTAGGTGGTGGTGTTTTCTGTGCTGCCCCCTTCTGTCACCCTGCAAGCTAACCTTCGGGGGCTGGATTTGGGAGGCTGTTGAGAAGAGCAGGGCTCATCCTGCTGAAGGATGGTTCTGACTTTATTTTTAAAATCCAAACAAAATATCTTCTTTCTGCTGAACAGCATACTACCTGGTTTCCCCAAAGTAAAGAGAAGAATCTGGCTTCAGCATGGTTTGCCGGTTTGCAAAGAGCCTGACATCAAAGGTCCTTAAAAGGTCTTAAAAGCTGCTAACTTAAAGCATGTCCACACTGCAGGCATCACCCAGAATATCTAAGTGTGAGGGAAGGAGGCAGGTGGATGGGGAGAGGAGTTTGGGCACATGGATTACTGGCCCGCAGTGGTGGTCGTCGTATATTTTCTGTCCTGGGCTGGAAATTTTGCTATTTCACATGGTTGCTGAATCAAGAGAACTGTGACTTAAGTTTCACAATTTATGCATCAGATATTATATATATATTTGGCAGTTATATGACCTTTCCAACAGTTACAGTTTTCTTCTGGTAAGTTAGGGGAGCACCCTCAAGTCTCCTGGGGAGTCTAAAGAGTTTAAAAATACTTAGAAGGAAACGTATACAGGCTTCCTGGAAATATGTGTGTGTGTAGGAACCAATGAAAAGGAGAATATAAAATTAAAACCAGAGTTTTAGCAATTATAGCAGGAAAATTAGAGGCAAGCGGAAGGAGATGATCTTTGAGCTAAAGAAAAATATTTAGGAAAGCACTTTGTCCTATAGCTACAGCCAGATTTCTTTGTTGCTGTACTGAGTCAACAAACAAATCCATGAACTTCTCATGCTTGAACACCTACTATGTACTTAAAAACTGTGCCTGGGAATCCTGTCCTCTAAGAGATTTGAGTGTGTTAGTTGGAGAAGGCAAAATAACCCACAGGCAAATAAAGAGCAGTGAAGGGCCTGGTTCTGACTGTAAGAGCCTAAGACCAGGGCGGGCTGGGGCAGCTGGGCAGGCTTCTGGTGGAGGATGGGCGATGATGGGAGAATTCTGAGTAGGACAACAGCACAGACAAAGGCACAAAGGTAAGGATGAGTCTGGCACAAGCGGTCTTCCTTTTGTTTACTCATTTATTAATTCAACAAATGTTGAGCATCTCCTATGTACAGGAGACTTTTCTTGGTCCCGGGGACAAGTTGCGAGCAAAATTGGTGTGGCTGTTGTCTTCATGGAAGTTCTAGTCATTGGGAAGAACGTGAAAATCAATCAAAGAATCACTCAAATGAATGTATGAGCAACAAGCAATGTCTTCCTCTGCCAGGAGAGAGTGGTGAGGGAGATCTGGGTGAAGGTGGGAGAGCAGCATGTGGAGGAAACAAAGGAGCAGGAAAGTGAAAGCGGCTGGTGTTGGGGCAGGCGGAGGCAGGGACCAGATTCCATGGGGCTTGAAGGCCATGGTCAGGAATCTGAATGTTATTTAGAGAGTACTGGGAAGCCATGGAAGTGTTTTAAGGAGTTGTGACATGGTCTATACCAGTGCTGCTCACACCTCGATGATACATATCAATCACCCGGGGGCCTTGTCAAAAGCAGGAGATTTTTAGGGCAGTGAAAAGACTCAGTATGATACTGTAATGGTGGATACATGTCGTTTTATGTTTGTCAAAACCCATAGGATGTATAGTGTCAAGAATGACCCCTAAAGTAAAGTGCAGACTTTGGTGATAATGTGTTAATGTGGGTTCATTGATTGTCACAAATGTACCCTCTGGCCTAGGATGTTGATGGTAGGGGAAGCTGTGTGCATGGACAAGATGGAGTATACAGGAACTCTCTGTACTTTCTATTCATTTTGCTATGAACCTAAAACTGCTCTAAAATAAAGTCTGTATATTTTTTGAAAAATACAGTTTCTGCCTAGGTGGGTCAGGGAGGGGCCTGAGATTCTGCATTTTTTAACAAGCAGTCGGGTGATGCCGACACTGTTGGGCCACAGCCCTTCAGTTTGAGTAGTAAAGTTCTGAAATGACGTTACAAAAAAAAAGGTGTTGCTAGAGCAGAAAGAATGGCTTGTAGGGCTGACAGAGCGATTGTGTGAAACCTGTCAGGAGGCTGTTATAGACAGCTTTGATGAAGAGACTGGAGTCAGAGGGAGATGGGGGAATCAGAGGGTGTGTGTGATGTAGAATCGGGGAGAGTTTGCCAGACCGGGTGCAGCTAGGAGCTGAGCATGTCCTGTGGGAGGCAAGACTGGGTGAGATTATGGAGGCCTTTGCTTCAGGGAAAGGGATTTGGCACACACCTTCCTCTCCTGGTCTGGTCCAGGAAGCTGCACTACCACCCACCCCCAGCCGTTGCTGCCCAGGACAGGTGACCTCTTTGTCCTGAAAAGGGAGGGGCCAGCTGGACTCCTCTCTACTTCTGGTTTGGTCTGTGGAGGCAAAACTAAAAACTCATGTACTCCAGAAACTGGTATGTATGTATGTATGTATGTATGTATTTATTTTTAAATTTTTTAAATGTTTATTTTATTTCTGAGAGAGAGACAGAGTGCAAGCAGGGGAGGGACAGAGAGAGAGGCAGACACAGAATCCAAAGCAGGCTCCAGACTCTGAGTTGTCAGCACAGAGCCTGACGCAGGACTCAAACCCACAAACCGTGAGATCATGACCTGAGCCGAAGTCAAATGCTTAACCAACTGAGAAGTTGGCACCCCCAGTTTCTGGCACCCCCAGAAACTGGTATTTATAAGGCAGAGGATCTAACACGGTCGCTTTCAGAGGGGCTGACCTTATCAGGCAGCTTTCTCTGAGGTGGGATATCTTCAGGTAAGCACAGCTCTAAGGGGAGTGGAGAGGCCTTTGGTAGGAGTGGGCCAGGGACATAAGAAAGGTGTTGCCCGTAAGTTTATGGCATGAGGAAAACTGAGCCACGGGGAAAAGAATGCCCTCAATGTACCACAGACACTCTTCCTGTCATGTATTGTCTGAGCGCTGCTGGCCAAGGGTCCTAGAAGTCACAGTTCTTGCTGTGAGAACTCTGATATTCAATGTCCCTGAGCTTTTTAAAGATTTAAGTACTGTTTAGAGACACAAAAGGGTCAGACTTTATACAGAGTGCATAGGCTGGGTCTCAAGAGGAGAGAAAGTCAGGAGCAATGGAAAAAATCAGGTAACAAGTCTGAAATCTGTTAGCTGCTGGAGAGCAGATACTTCTCCCCCTTGTGTTCCCAGCACCAAGCCCAAGGCCAACAGGAGCCCCAGGTGTGCTGGTTCCCTTCATGAAAAGTACTTAGAAGTGTCCCCAAAGGTCACTTCCATTGGAAAGATATACACAGACCATTAGCAGTAAATCTCTAGATGGTGGGGTTATATCTATAACTTTTAGGTGTTTCTATATTTTCCATTCTTTCTAAATTTAGTGTGTTTCCTTTAGAGTTAGGGAACATCTTTACTTAAAAAGCACTCTCAAGTCCCAGTGAGCTAACATACAGCCCAACACATGGGGATTTAATCTGTTCTGCCCAGCTGTGGGCACTTGGCTCAGTCCGGATGTCAGCCAGTTACCACAGTGATTCTGGCCTGTCCTGGGTGTGATTCAATAAATCACATGCTGCACATGACAGGAAAGTTAATTAAGGAAATGAGAGAAAATTAAGTTTAAAATTTCTGTATAGTGTGTTACAATTAACTTAGCACTTTTACATCTGGGTATTATATGATTTACATCATATAATCCCCGTGATAATTATGTAAAGTTTTAGTAGAGAATGTATTATGCCCCTTTTGTAGAGATTCCCAAGGAACCAATTTGTCCGAGGTTATGATTCTAATGTGCAAAAACCGATGGAGGCAGATCTCATCTCCTAATGCCTAGTCATTCATTCAGTAAATATTTATTGAGTGCCTACTTTGGGCCAGTCCCTGTTCTAGATTCTGTGGATATAATGATAAACTAAACAGATAAAGTCCCCCCCCCCCCCCCCCCACCCCTCGTTCCCATAGCCTCAGAAGTAACTGCTGCTGAAGATAAACTTGAAGAGAAGTAAATCAGGGCAAGGGACTAATGAGGAGCAGCATGGATGAGGTCTGGGAGGAGGGCACTGGTTAAAGAGAGTCAAAGAAGGGCTCCCTGACAAAGGGAAATGAGGAACTGGGCTGTGTGGATGTCTGGGGAAGGCAATGGTACACCTGTCATATGCCCACAACTGCAGAGGTATCTTCTGTGTGTTACCTCACAGAATCCTCATGCCCGCTTTGTTAGGTAAGTGTTGTTGTGCCCATCTGTAAAATAGTGAAGCAAGGTCAAAATTCAGCTAGGTTTTAGGTAGTAATACTCAGATTTCAGGGACCTGACTCTCCCCTCCAGAGCCACTGAAGCACACAAAACACTTCAGAGACCTTTTAATTGTCTGCATGTAGCAGCCCTGAGTATGGAAGCTGGGTCCCGGTGGAATTTCCAAATTGCCCAGAAGATTTTTGGTTCCTCTTTTCAGTCTGGTTCTTCTTCAGCATGAGTGTGTGGTGAGAGGAGTTCACATAGGAACATTAAGGATCCCATTGATGGTTACTGACCTTTAGAGAGACACCCACACTTCTCCTCAGATGGCTGGACAAAAACTCCTTAAGAGTCATCATTGAAGGGGTGCTTGCCTGGCTCAGTCAATAGAGCACATGACTCTTGATCTCAGGGTTGTGAGTTCAAGCCCCACATTGGGCGTGGAGCCTACTTAATTAACAACCAAAAAAAACCTTTTTTTAATTAAAAAAAAAGTCATTAGTCAAAGTAGCTCATTTTCAGTTAAGATTCCTCTTTTTTTCATTTTTGTTATTTTTATTTTTTTATTTTAGAGAGAGGAAGAGTGAGCAAGGGAAAGGGGCAGAGGGAGAGAAAGAGAGAATCTTAAGCAGGCTCCACACTGAAGGGCTCAATCCCACGACCCTGGGATTGAACTGGGACCTGAACTGAAATCAAGAGTCAGACACTCAACTGACTGAGCCATCTATGTGCCCCTGAGATTCCTCTTTTGCTAATGTCACCACATGTAAAAATTACTTAGAAATCCTGGATTCTTTTTGGGTGGGAACAAACAGATCATAGGGAAAGACCCTATTTAGAATCTCAGATGAATGAGCTGCTTTCTGTCGTGGTATCTGTAATGGCCAATAGCAAGACCAGAATCCTATGTATCTGATGTAACCCCTGAGTGAAATGAAAGGACCACAGGGTAGAAGTTGGGAGCAAGAGTTGGGGAAGGAAAGGAAAAGTCTTACAGAAGACCTGCCATGTACTAGGGACTTTTCCATTTATATCATTTAATTGAATTTAATTTTACAGTGATTCTGAGAGGTAGGTATTACATACTTTTTACTGATGAGGAATTGGATTAATCAGCAAGTGGCTGAGCTGGGACTAGAATCCAAGTCAGTAGGAATCCGTAGTTGATGCTCCTACATATCAGTTTGCTTCTGCTGTATTTTTTTAATGTAAAGTTTATTTATTTATTTTGAGAGACAGAAAGAGAGAGAGTGTGCATGCATCATGCGGGGGAGGGGCAGAGGGAGAGAGAGAGAATCCCAAGCAGTCTCTGCACTGTCAGCACAGAGCCCAAAGCGGACCTTGAACTCACAAAGCATTATCATGACCTGAGCCCAAACCAAAAGCCAACAGACCCTTAACTGACTGAGCCACCCATGTGCCCTCTGCTGTATCTTTCTCAAAAGAGCTCAGGTTGGGGCACCCGGGTGGCTCAGTCGGTTGACCGTCCAGCTTTTGATCTCCGCTCAGGTCATGATCTCACGATTTTGGGGGTTCGAGCCCTACATCGGGCTCTGTGCTGACAGCCTGAAGCTTGCCTGGGATTTTCTCTCTCTGCCCCACCCCCACTCATGCTGCGCACCCCCTCCCCCAAATAAATAAACATTAGACAAAAAAAGAACTCAGGTTATTTATCTATTATGTGCTCCTCTGAAGTATATCTTTTCATTTCTTCACTTTCTCGGTTATGTTCCCTAAAGCTGGGGGTGGCAGTGTTCTGTGCAATTGCCAAAAGGGGTGCCTGAGATCATTGGGAGTTTCCTCACACTGCTCTGAAGATACCCGCCATTAAAAAACTTACTTCCTAATGCTGTGGGGGGCCCATGTCCAATCTGATGAAGGCCTAAAGAACAGCTGTTGAGGTAGAGAGGTGCTCGTGCTCCATGATCATGCTATCTAAGAAGAGAGAGGGACTGGAGACTGGATCCTTTGATAGGGGCCTCCCCAGGGGATGCCATGTGGCTCTGGGGGATATGGGACATGATAGCATTGGTGGGGGAGGGAGTGGCTAGTGAAAGAGCTTGGGCTTGGGGGAATCTGCTTGTAGGTCAAGTGTAGCATAGGAAGAACGGCCATGCCTTCTGAACCAAAAAAATCAGAAAATATAGTCTGCCAGGGGAGTTTGGTGCTACTGATAAACGCTTAGGAGCTAACAAAAGGGTGGAGTTTGGATACTGAAATGTTGGTATTTCTGGAATATACTGATGGGAAAATGGGCAGAATGTTTTAAATGGGACCCTCTAATAGGGTAACTGTCACATGGATTGCAGATAGCTGAAAAGATAAGGACCGGATATAGATCCATTTAGCATTGCTGAAAAGGATAAAAATAGTCTGGGGGGGGGGGGAGGTGTACACTAAACCTTGTCTGGTGGAGATGAGGGGAGTAAATTCAGCCTGAAGTCATGAGTTCATTCCAGGCCTGGAACAAAAACGACTGTGCTTCTCAAAGCAAAAATGTTCAATGGTGGGGTCTGGCTGGGGGTGTGGGCAGTGCTGGCCTACTTAATCCTGGAACCGGGGCCTAAAGTTGGGGAAACCAATAAACAAGGAGAGTGGCCTGAAAGGTCTGGGCCAGAAAGTGTAAAACAGGAGCAGCTTCCTCTTCTGGGCTTAGTTTTCTCACCTATAAATAAGACAACCAAAATGAACTGACATGGAAGTCCTTTTAAGATCTCACAGTCCAATGATTTCCATATTCCTCATCAGGCTGAGTACATTGTGTACCCATACTTAGCATTCATATGCTAGGTTGCCTAAAGTCCTCCTTTTTCTGGGACTAGTGGACCTTCTCCCTCACTGTCCATCGACAGATGAATGGAAAAGAAAATGGAGTATATACATATGATGGAATAGTATCATTATCTTATTATTCCTTAAAAAGGGAAGAGATTCTGGTACATGCTAAAACATGTATGAAACTTGAGGACACTATGCTAAGTGAAATATGTCAGTCACAAAAAGAAAATACTATATGATTCCAGTTATATGCAGTATCTAAAGTAGTCAAATTCATAGAAACAGAACATTAAGTGGTGGTTACCAAGAGGTTAAAAAAAAAAAA